GTTACTACTCCTTAGATGAAATTTACTTAGAGAAGTAAAAAAGAGAAAGAGGCAAGTTTACTCGACAATGAATCAATGAAAAGTAAATGATCCATCAAAGTACAGACTCTTATGGATAGACATTGTGTATACCTTTGTCATCTTCCTTGGAAGTTTCATCACAGCCAACTGCCAAAACAATCCGAATAGGATAAATGTCAAGAAACAGAGAAATTATATTAACTATTTTCAACAGAAACCAAAAATAAAGATACAAGCTATATGAACACATCTTCCTTAGAGATGTAAACAAGAAGAAGGAGGCAAATTTACATTCCAAAAATATGTAGAAACAGTAACCTTTTTAAACGATTGAAAAGAAAAGAATACATTTTGGAGGGAGTTTTGGCCTACAAAAGACGTATTCAGTCGGGTAATGCGTAGTGTAACGGACCCTAGCTTGGAAGGTCTTTTCTTGTTTATCAGACGGATCCAACACTTGAAACGTGATCAGAAACATATACCCACAACATCCATGGAAATTGACTTTCTCAACTTTGACAAACTCAAATTCCGTACCCTGTTTTAACCAATGAACCACTCATAAGTATACAAAGGTAGGCACATATTATATATACAAGCTTTTCACCAAGAAGATAAAACGTCTATACAAAAGCACATGAGGAACAAAAACAAAGAGCATAACTTAGTTTTGACCTTATCTTTATTGTAACGTCTAATGGATTCTCGAGAAAGCTTATCCATTAACTCTCCGTTGTTTAGCTCATCAAGGAAATCATAATCCTTGGGATCAACAAGATGATAGTTGAATAAATACCGGAACATCGAGAAATCAATATCGAACCCCTATTCACATAGAATCAACATTTCAATACTTAACATAAAACACACAAAAACCCTAGTTTTTTTTAAACAAAATACCTCGCTAGCAAAGATTTGTTAGTTCATCTTTTCAATTTCTTCCTCTGCTGTGTACTGAGGCTTATCATCCTCTCTTTTTTTGTGATATAGTGATGCTTTAAACACTCAGGATCTTCAGGTGTACATAGCAAGTACGCATCTTCGACCCAAGAAATCCAGCCTGATCAGAGATAACAAATCGAAATCAGGGCTTTTTTCATCGATCTATCGTGAGTATATATACAAATAAACTTGATTTATACCTTCGGGTTCGAATGAATCACCCATGCCTCCTCACGAATCAAAGATCTCGCCTTGCGTTGAGAAACTGATGATAAACCCTAACTTTTTTTTGGTTAAGTGACTTTGGATGTGTCTCTCTCTCCCTTTCGCCTTAAATTTATTATCCAGCTAATTCCCACTAATTTCACTCAAGTCCCTACAAGTTTCTTGCTCTTTGTCTTATGCCTCGTAATTTTAAGTTACGAAATAAATGAAAAAAGACAAAAGATAATTGGGGCCATTACAAAAATACAATTTTTTATGTGCATATTTGCAAAAATGCTACATAGGAGTGTCCATTTACAAAAATATTACTAATTATAGATTTATAAAACCTATATCTTAAAATTCTAAACCCTAAAAAATGTTTTGACACCTAAAACCTCCTAAACACTCAAAACTTATTTTTTATTAACTATAGAAGTAACTTTTTTTTGTGTTAGTCTATGTGTTCTTTGTATAGGTGATTTGGTTGACCGACTGAAACAGTCATTACCTTTCATCTACCCATTCCTCCACTAATTATTTATGGTGATGGTAGTCTCATTCATGATACGATTTCATGCACAACAATTAAACAAACTCAGTTTATGAGTTGTTTGGATTACAATTGCTTGTGTTTTTCGACTAGAGATTTCACATATGTGGAATTCTCTTTTAGGTATAAATGGGATCCTATTATTGCAAAGTGGATTCCTCTTAACATGATTACCAATGTTGCAAGATTAGTTCATGTGTCTACCTTCTAATAGCGATGAGTATTATCTTTGGTTATTGCTTCGGGTTGTT